CTATACCCCCCATCCTTCACCTATAGAACCCCAAACCCTGATATTTACCTCGCAAATCTCCCCAATACCCCCCATCCTTATATCTCATCTATAGGCGATTATCCCTGATATTTACCTCACAGATCCCCCCCCCCCCATTATCCCATCCATCTATAGGACCCCAAACCCTGACATTTACCTCACAGATCCCCCCCTATACCCCCCATCCTTATATCTCATCTATAGGCAATTATCCCTGACATTTACCTCAAACCCTGATATTTACCTCACAGATCCCCCCCTATACCCCCCATCCTTATATCTCATCTATAGGCAATTATCCCTGACATTTACCTCAAACCCTGATATTTACCTCACAGATCCCCCCCTATACCCCCCATCCTTATATCTCATCTATAGGCAATTATCCCTGACATTTACCTCAAACCCTGATATTTACCTCACAGATCCCCCCCTATACCCCCCATCCTTATATCTCATCTATAGGCAATTATCCCTGACATTTACCTCAAACCCTGATATTTACCTCACAGATCCCCCCCTATACCCCCCATCCTTATATCTCATCTATAGGCAATTATCCCTGACATTTACCTCAAACCCTGATATTTACCTCACAGATCCCCCCTATACCCCCCCATCCTTCACCTATAGGACCCCAAACCCTGACATTTACCTCACAGACCCCCCCTATACCCCGCATCCTTCACCCATAGAACCCCAAACCCTGATATTTACTCCACAAATCCCCCCTATACCCCCATCCTTATATCTCATCTATAGGCAATTATCCCTGACATTTACCTCACTGATCCCCCCTATACCCCCCATCCTTCATCTATCTCTTCTATATACCCCAAACCCTGACATTTACCTCACAGATCCCCCTATACCCCCATCCTTCATCTATCTCTTCTATATACCCCAAACCCTGACATTTACCTTACAGAACCCCCACTCTATACCCCCATCCTTCATCTATAGGACCCCAAACCCCTGACACTTACCTCACAGATCCCCCTATACCCCCATCCTTCATCTATCTCTTCTATATACCCCAAACCCTGACATTTACCTTACAGAACCCCCACTCTATACCCCCATCCTTCATCTATAGGACCCCAAACCCCTGACACTTACCTCACAGATCCCCCT